AAGAAAGAAAGAAAAAAAATACGGTGCTGTGTTATGTGTGCGGGCAGAATTGTGTGATTTCTGGATATTTCTGAAGGAAATACGTCAGAACAAAGAAGGAAATATGAATGAAGATGAAATGATTGAATCAAAGAGACAACAAAAGCTTACATTTAAAGCATTTGAACAGAAACCGGAAGGCTTCAAGATGAAAGAAAAGCTAATATAAAACTGATTAAAATTACAATAAGAGAAACAACCGATGTTGAAAATGCTGAAAAGGTTCGTTTTTGTATTGAACAAATGTCCAGTTTGTTTAATGAGGCAAGCCAGCTGCATGAAGTGCTTATTTCTATGATGCCTTCTGAAGAACAGGAAAAACAGAACACATGGCTTGATGATGTTGAAAAGCATAAATCAAATTTTGTTGAGGATGCAAACAAATGGCTCTTGGAACTGCCAACAATTGCTGATGTACTGCAGAAGCCACAAGAGGGTGCTGTTGAACAAGAATTTCTTCCAAATGAAGAATCAGTTTGCGATGACGATACAACAAGAGTTTTGCAAACAGTAAGGAAACTGAAAAGCACTGCAGTAGATACTGGTCCAGGTGACAGTGTATCTAATGCATCTAAAGGAAAACCAAAGAAGAGCAGTGATTTTGGGAGCAAGTCTGCTGTGTCAAGCACCTCTTCAGCACGATTAAAAGCAGAAGCAGAGGCAGCTGCTATTATCGTTCGTCAAAAATTATTAAAAGAAAAGCATGCTATGCAGGAGCAACAGGAGCAATTAAGAAGACAAATGGAGGAACAACAAGAACAGCTATGGAGACAAATGGAAGAAATGGTTTTGGACATGGAACTTGCTGCTTCTATGGCTAAAGTAAATGTGTTGAAGGCTTCTGAAAGTTCTCGTTAGTCAGCACGCAGAAAGGCCGCATGTGAGTTTCGAACCTGTGACATTCGCGCTGCGAGGCAACAGTGCTGACAACTGCGCCACCATGCAGCCTGGAAACCCACACATATGGAACAATCAGATCACTGATGTATGATGGAGCTTGATTATTGCTACCACTTCTGTCCAATTGCATCATTTCCTGCCATTTTAGCTGTTAACTTTATTTTTCTGTTTTTCTCCTCAGAAGAAGCTGCAATGGTGTTCTGCTGAGCTGTGGTGCTCTAATGGAGGGGGCCACCAGCTGGCACATTGCCGCCAACCATTCTCCCTCTCCTGATATTAACATTTTACTTTCTTTAACATAGCATGTGCTACTACTAGATCACATGATGATTTAGTTATAGATTTACTCAGAAAAAGTTGAGGTCTTTCTAAATAGCACACACCAACAAATCACAATGCAGCAATAGAAAGGCTGCGTGGTGCTCATACTGAATTTTGCTGTGAAGACACTGACACCAGTCAGTGATTTGATGCAATCAGCTGGGTTCCTTATATAGGAAACATTTTACTGATCGGTTCATGAACTGAACTCTATTGGAACATTTACTTTGTGAAGTGCCCTGAGACGACTCTTGTCGTGATTTGGTGCTATTTTAATAAGCAGAACTAAATTACCGTAATTTCTGGACTATAGAGCGCACCTCAATATAAGCCGCACCACCCAAAAAAAAAGGTTTTCTACACACACGCTGCACTCGAGTACAAGCCGCGGCGCAGCAGCCACATGCAGGTCTCCGGCGCACAGCGCATGTACGGCCATAACATGAGATAATCAGACAGAAAGACGCCACACGGAGGTTTTTCGTTGTTGTTTTAATTCAACAAAACAAATTTTAAACATGGGTGAAGTGCCTGCAAGTGTAGAAAAGAAAACAGCACTGATAGCATTCATATTTCTGGATGTTATAAAATAATACTGACACGTTATTACCGGTCATTTGCATGTTTAGAAGAATAGAACAGCGCTGACACAGCATTAATAAGCCCTGGATGATCAGAAAATAAAAACTGCACACAAAACATGGCTGGTTAGTACATAAAACACACCTGCCTACCAGAAGAAGTCATTCGCTCTCATCTTCCTCTTGCGCACTAAAGACTTTAAAGTCCTCTTCTTCAGTGTCGGAGTTGAACAGCCTCAGAAGAGCTTCGTCACATACCTTTTCTGTGGCGATGTCGGCGTCGCTGTCTGTGTTGCTGTCATCATCCCCGGGTGAAGCTGGCTTGAATGAGTTCTTCCCGCTGCCGTCTCCAGCGCCGAACCATGGATTCATTCATGCCAAGCTTACGTGCGGCAGCGCTGTTTCCCTCCTTCACTGCCAGATCGATGGCCTTCAACTTAAATGCAGCATCATATGAACTCATACGTGTAGTTGCCATGATGAGGGGGTATGGATTAGAAAAACATTCTTCGTCGTGCCGGCTGCTTGCATGTGCTAAATTAAAATGAGCACTTTCTCCGATTTCCACTTTTGACTTCCACCTGTTTGCCTTTCTGCTAAAGCGCCCCCTAGTGGCAGGTGAAGGAAAATCTTCAGTAAAGCCGCACCTCATTATAAGCCGCACGGTTCAAAGCGTGGGAAAAAATTAGCGGCTCATAGTCCGGAAAATACGGTATGTATAACTAAAGCCACGGAAAAAGACAAGAAAAAGTAACCGAGCGTAAGGCGTAGGCAACCACAATCACAGCCAAAGGTGGGTAAGGTCACAATAAACCAAGGCAGAGGTGGAGGAAGACAGCGTCTTCGTTTTTCCTTTTGTGCAGAAATATGACCTTTATTTATTTAAGCTTTTAAAAAGTGGTTTGTACCTAACATAGATATGAACTTTTTACTTCAGTAAACTCAATTGAGCAGCAGTGCAAACTGATAGGAAATAAAAACACATGAATTGACTGTAAATTAAACAAACCTGGGCTGAAGCGAGAATGTTTGTCTTACCTAAACAATCAGTACGCAAGGCTCAGAGAGACTCTGGTAACCACTCACTATCCACGTGTGGCTGCAGCAAGTCCCCCTCCCAAATCAACTGAGAGCATAAATGAATTCAATTATTACTTACAGCCTCGCACACCACCTCTCAAAAACCACTCCCTGGTCTGCACACCTTTTTATAATCAACTCATCAAGAAGTAGCAGAGACCGTGAGCTGTGACACGTTCACGGACAATCCCTACAATTAGGAATTCTGAAACACCCTCATCCTAACTGGATGACCTCAGTCACCTGGTTAGGTGTATATATTATTACAAGTGTCAAGAAAATGTCAGGGGCTGCACAGTGGTAAGCACTGTTGTCTTGCAGCAAGAAGGTCCTGGGTTTGAATCCCAGCCTGGGATCTTTCTGCGTGGTTTTCATGTTCTCCCTGTGCATTCGTGGGCTCCCTCCCACAATCCAACAACGTTAGATTCATTCATTATTTAATTTTGAAGATTATAACTGACAACCAATGAAAATCCCAAATTCAGTATCTTAGAATATTAGATGCGTTCAGACCAATGCAAAAGTGTTGGCCAGCTGAAAAGTATGAGCATGTACAGCACTCAACAGCCTCTTTTATAAGGCAGACCATCGCGTCATTACAGAGTGATAAATCTGAATTTGTGGGTCTCGTGAATGCGGCACGGAGCAAAGGAGAAAGGTGATAAAACTCGATTGTGATGCGCCTAGCCTCGTAGTAATATTGCCGCACGAGCCCCTCGCCTCTGACGGCTAAACGCGTGTCAGCCATGCTAATCCCTTTGGAGCGACTGTGGGAGGCCCCTGCAAAAGAGGGTGGTCGTGTTAGTGACGGATACTGCGCGCCGAGTGCCGGCCGGAAGGGATATAAACACACATAAACACGGCCTCTCATGAGTATCTTTCAACCACCTACAACATGGCAAAGTGGACGGACGCGGAGACCATGGAGCTTTTGGCCGTGCGAGCGGACGAACAGAATAGTCGCCTTTTTACGGGGACGGTGAGAGACAGCCAGCTGTTCGACAGGGTGGTGAAAACACCGGCTGAGCGGGACAAACAGCAGGTCACGTCAAAGCTAAAGGCCCTGAAAAAGAAATTTCATCAGTCTGACGTGTCTTCCGTCTGACACTTGAATGTCACATGCGGGGGGGCCGCCCAGCGACCTCCCTTTATCCCATTTTGGTTTGAGAGGTGTCTGATGGCAGTTTATTCTAGCATCAGCTTTGCTACTATAAATGCCAAAATCCTCCCCAGGGTGCCGCGGCAAATCCCGTCTTGCAAACGCTAGGGTCCTGTAAAAACAGCGAATGTTTATCTGGGGCTCCTTTGGCCTGGATTACTGCAGCAATGCGGCGTGCCGTGGAGTCCACTGCTCAGGTGTTACGAGAGCCCATGTCGCTCCGGCCTTCAGCTCTTCTGAATTGTTGGATCTGGCGTATTGCATCTTCGTCTTCACAATACGCCATAGATGTTCTATGGGGTTAAGGTCAGGCCAGTTTGCTGGCCAATCAAGGACAAGGATAACATGGCCCTGGTTGCTTTGGCACTGTGTACAGGTGCCAAGCCCTGTTGGAAAATGAAATCTGTATCTCCATAAAGTTGGTCAGCAACAGGAAGTGTGAAGTTTTCTAAAACTTCCTGGTAGATGGCTGCGTTGACCTTTGACCTCAGGAAACACAGTGGACCATCGCCAGCAGATGATGTGCTGGTTTGTCGATGTGTGTGTGGAGGATGGCTGCTTATACTGAGCCAGGATTCTCTGGAGGTTTCTTCCTGTTAAAAGGGAGTTTTCCTCTCCACTGTCGCTACATGCTTGCTTAGTATGAGGATTGCTGTTAAGACTCTGACACTAGTCAGTGACTCGATGCGACCTGCTGGGTTCCTAATATAGGAAACATTTTGCTGACTGTGCCTCGAGACGACCCTTGTTGTGATTTGGCGCTACAGAAATAAACTGAATTGAACTTCAGCCGGCCAATAAGACTCAGTGAGCAGGTCAGCTGAGCATAGAAAACCTAGATCACCTGCAGGTGTGTAGAGCTAGAGAAGCACGACAGGGTTTTATTTAAAACCGTCATACGTCAAAAAGGACACCGCTCGTTGCAATTTAAATTTGTTTTTACTTAAAAAATTCAAAATAAAGATTTATAATTTATCCAAAAAAAAAAAAGAAAAAAGACAATATTCCACTTCAGGTCTAGAGACAGATGGCAGGACAAGAATGTGAGACCTGGGCTCTCTCAGCTGGTTTCTCCCCCGTAAGAAACAAGGACCAGATGAGAGGTGAGAAACAACTAAAACAGTTTCGTCGGCTCCTCGCCGCTGAAGATGAAGGTTGCATTGTATTTTGATGCAGATTGTCCTCCGAGCTCCAGAAGACATCAGACTCTTCAGCAGGCTACAGCATATTCAGACTCACCAGAGGATCCACAGTGATTCAGTAGGAACTGGCCCTGGTCCAACACACAGACGTCAACGTAACGAAAACTTACGGTTCATTTAGACTCGTGTGGCAGCCTGAAACCTCCACTGGTCATCTGTTCACATTTAAAACCAGAAACTTTCATTTTTCAGTACAAAAAATAGATGAAGGGATGAAAAACAATCCTGATGGAATGAATTTGATATCAAAGCGTCTCTCTGGGTCTACGTCCGCACAGTGAGGGTTATGATTTAAGGATTGGGGTGGAGCTAGTTAACATTCATTTGTTGAATATATTTATTAGTCTTTAAGCATCGGGTATCAGAATAATTGGGCAGTCGACACCCTTCACATTTAGAGTTTCTATATAATACAGTAAAGAATTCAACTGAATTTTTAACACTAACTCCTGTGTGTCTCCTCCTTCAAGTGGCGTCGTCCTTCTCATTATTGCGATGAATAAAATCTTAAAAGATGATTTTTTTTTAGAAAAAACCTTTTGCTCACTACAGTATCTGCTATGTACATCTGTTTAAAAAGCAAGCATGGCCATCGCTATGTACAGCTAGAGACTTCCTTCTTGTTCTTTTCAGAATATACATATTTACTAATTTTCACAGTATTCTATGTTTGCTCATATATTCAGTATCAATAGATGTATCATCTCATTTTCTGTAAGTACAAATATTTCTCATCATGGCGTTGGGGTTGGGGTGAAGACCCTCCCGGAGTCACGCGTTGATATTTCGTGAACACTGCTCACGTCTGTTTTCAAACTGAAAAGAGCTGCAATCGTGACTTTAGTTCAGTTCTTTATTTTTTCCACCACTTCACAGCCCTCCAACGGAGGAACAAAGGTCCGATGTGCAGTTTTCGAGTTTGCGCTTTCCTCCGTCTTCGTCACATCTTGTGATATTTCATTTCATCCCTATTCTGTCACTAGTAAAGGTTGAATATCTGCAGTGGGTTTGCCCAAACAGTCTCTTCCACGTGGCCACAGTCTTTAAAAAAAGAGATAGTTCTGCCTCCTTGTTTGGAGGGAAGTTGCAGCGCGTAACAAACCCTCCACCAGCGGCTTTCCCCTGCTCCGCGCCCATCGGAGGAGAGCCGTCGGCTGTCTGAATCCCCTCCCTTCGTCGTTTCTTCCTGGTTGTGGTCTTTATTGTCTCTGGTGTTATTGCATTAAGGCACTTGGGGTTTTTTTTGGTTTTCAAGGAAGCTCAGGGGAGACCAGGGCCAGGCCGGAGCTCTGGCGTATGGGAGGCCCGGCGTGGACGGCCTTGGGACAATCTGGCGTCAGCACTCGGCCATTCTCCCCAACGCTGCCTGTGATGGACAGACGCGCCTTGTTCCTCATGGCTTCTGTGAACGTTAGCTGCAGAGAAATACGGAGTCAAGTTCACAAACAAAGAAACTGGAAATAAGAAAACCTGGAATGTTGGAAACTGGAGTTGGATAAAAGAAAAATAACCCTAACCCAAGAATAATCCATAATATGGTTGAGGATTAGTTTGTCTACGAGGTAAAAATACATTAACCTGTTCAGAGAGTTTATTTCCCACAGGAGTGATGTGCTAACGGCTAGTCCTATCTTAAAATCCTCTCCAGAATGTCACAGAAACTCATTAACTTTATTTCATAAATAATTTCACATTACAGGGTCAGATACAATCCTGATGGACTTGAACTCTGGATGCTCCACATGTGCTGCTTTGGTGATTTTTATTCTGGAAAACAATCACAGAATTTCACATTATTAATCACGGGTGGTTAGTAAAATGAGTTTCAATATACTTCAGTGACAATTACAACACGAGCCGTTTAAAGACAGCAGCAGCGCCATTTTACAGGATTTGTAACTTTTCCAGAAATGTGCTTCTGCCACCTGGTGGAGCTTGTATACACTACAGGTGTGTACAGGTCAACGCTGGATAAAAAAACATTTGGCAGTTATTTTAAAGAATAACTATTTTAGATTTAACTAGCTTTCTGATTAAAAACTTTTGATATTAAGAAAACACTGAAAACTAAATTAATGTATTCATAATTCATTAAAAATGAATCCTGCGGAAACTAAAGGGAGATTTCTAACTTTTTAGAAGTTATTTACTGAGTTAAAATTAATTTTGATGCTAAAACCTTTTAGTTTTATTCAACTCCAGTTTCTGCAGAATTAAAAGAAACAACCTGAATCTCTTTGAACTCGGATGAAGTTAGGTTATTTATTATTAGGTTATTGTGACCAGTGGCAGATTTAGCATTTTGGGGGCCCAAGGCAAACACAGACATGGGGCCCCTTACACAAGATTTTCGACAATCTTACCTTTAACCCTCTCAGGCTCAAAATAAGTTTTGATAAAAGGACGAACAACTAAGTCCTTCAGGGGAACTTCTGAGTTAAAAAATGCTCATGAACAACGTCTGTGGAGCAACCAGGTAGGTATTAATGTAACGCCTGTTTGATAACGCCTACCTCCAGAAGGTTAGTTGGATTTGCGAAACTCCCGTCTTCTGCCATGAATTACTTTCCCTTTTTATTATTCCTCCTCTTTTTTCCCGTCTCTCTCCCTTTGAGTGCCTTCAGTGTTTGCTCTGCTTTCTTCTTCCTGTCAGTGCTCCTGTGCGTTTGCCTTTCTTTTTGTTTCTATTTTCCATTTTGGTCCATGTTTTCCTCCCTTTAAACATTTTCCATTGTCTTTCCTTTTGTGCTTCCTTGAGGAGTGAGCGCCACCTCACCTCTGCCAAGTGGACCTCAAGGAATAAGCCATCAACCCTGCTCAATGGTACACTTTCCTCCCATTAGGACAGCGGGAGGGTTAAATGAATAGTCCATTGTGGCTTTAACAGACGGGTGCCGGCAGTCAGGGCTAGGGGGCCCCAGGCGGCCGACGACCTATGCCTAATGGTAAAACCGCCACTGATTTTGACACAAGGAAGGCTTCATCTCTACAAAATTGTGGGATAACTCAAATCAGGTAGAACAGCTGCTAATGGAAATATTGAATTATTTTTCTTTAAACAAATAAGTCGTTTCCATTACAAGTGTACATCTATTGTGAGAGAGGGACCGTCAGAGAGAGAGAGAGAGAGAGCTGCAGGAAAAACAGGAAAGCTGACTCCGCAACAGCCAAATTTAAAGGTTTATGCTGAGGGAGGACACATAACTACGCTGGACAGACTGAAGACAGATATCGGGATTTCAAAATCCTCAAAAGATTTGTGGGAAGTAAGCCGAGGGAAATGTTCACACCCTTAAGACCATCTCAGCCTGATTTGCATTTCCCTAGAGTCCCAGAGCTACGGGATGCGATATGGAGACTTGGGTGAACGAGTTTCTAGGATGCAGAGGTGGACAAATGCTCTGTGGTTTGATGGAATGTGTGTGTACAGGTAATTCATTGGTCCTCATTTATCACTCCTTTTCTCTCTGGAAATATGTAAAAGCCGAGAGAAGGAGTTGCATCACCTCAGCTAGACTCGTTTTAAAATCACCGGTTTTAAAACTGAGTTTGTGATTTTCTGTGTAAAACCACCAAACGTTGTTTCAGCGCTTTACGATGACTGAAGTCACCCAAGGATCGAGCTCGTAGCGATGCACATTAGATCTTCGGTTTGCAGGACACTGGGCCTCGCTGGATGATGAATGAGGACCAACCTCTGAAACCACACAACGCTGTGAAGCAGTGGAGGCAACATCGTGTCTGGAGGATGACTCATCACTTGCTGTCACACTGACGAGAAGCTGAAACGCAGACTGGGACATCACACGGCCACACAGTGAACGGAGAAGACAGAGGTGGGAAGCATTTTGCCACTGGTCACCACACCACTCAGCACGGCGAAGCTAACACGAACAGGTCAGTTTCACTTACAGTCTCTGCGCACGGAGCTAGTGAAGGGAGAGCAAACGTTTGGGTGGACCTTCTACGAAAACCCCCGCTACAGCTTATCAGCCTTCCCGTCGCTGCCAAAACCACTGAAAACCTCGCTAAACCCGCTGGGTCTGGGGCTCTGGCTAGGCTCTGGACTATGTTGAGGGCTGCCTGAGCGGCACGGGTAGCAGCTGTGGGAATGGGGGTGTTGGGACTGGGATTGGGATGAGGACTGGGCCTCCACCTTCATTCTCTTGGCCTCGTTGCGTGACTTGTAGCAGAATTCGATGAGGGCCACCAGCATTGCCAGGCCCAGGCCCCCGACGAGGATGTAGAAGACCCCCGCCACGTTGCTCAGGCTGAGGGCTTGGGACGACTTGTCCTGTAGCCGGCGGGGAGAGAAACAAGTCAGCGCTCATCACAGCAGAAGCAACACGACAAACAAGGTAAAAAGGACATAAAATCTCTTTAAATACACATCATGCACGCACAAGCGACGCTATCTCTGACCTGTCCGTCCACTTTAAGTCCCTCACTTTCACATGAACACCAAGTCACCGTAACGTGAACAATAAATGTGTCAGTTTCACCTAATTTAAAAAACGTCCCCCCCCCCCCCCCCCCCCGCTCTCTGGGAAACCAGATATTTAAGGAACGAGCTTTTTTCTCAAGCTGAAGCTCATTTTGATCACAAACTGGTTCAATTTAGTTCAGGGTGCCACGGTGAACTGCTCGTTTTTAGCATGAGCTTTTCCCAGTCTACCTGGAATGCATCGCAACAACGTCCGCCATTTTGGCGGAGGTGCAAACCAAATGTTGGTCTAATAAAAGTTGTTGTATTAAAGGAAATTTTGGTCTTTCTTAATTGTTCTATCGATTATTTATCTACAATAACATCTACGCAGTATCTAAAAACAGGAAGTAATCCACATAAAGAACAATTACTCATGGCTAGCCAGAGTAACTCATTAGTGGTTGGATTCGTCTATGAAAAAAAAAACGATTTTGTGCAAAAAGGAAATGTTGGCTTCCCGCCGGGTTTGTAAGTAGAGTGAAACACGTCCTTATTAGCGCATCTCTTCCTACCTGCAGCACAAAATGACAGCAAAAGCATCACAGTGTCCTTTCACAAAATCACAGGAGAATTGGAATAGATTGGAAGGTAATTAATAAAATTTAGTTAGCTTAGAAACTTTCGTTACTTTGACAGAACACACACGGCACCATATATAAGCCGGGGTGGGCTATCCCGACCTGGCCCAGGCCGAGCCGACTATAGTGTACGAAGGGCTTATGTGAGCATTACGTCTTTACTGTACTTATTGCATCTTTGGAGGTGAGCATCGGTGTGTTTCTAAGCATGGATCGTGAGCTTTTATCCTGGCAGTGGAAAGCCACAGCGTTATATATGACACCAACGTCTTCACGGTTGTTATGAAGAGATCAGACAAGATCTCTTGTGATTTTGTGATCTGCGAGTTCAGCTGCACAGGCTGTGGTGCATCACGCCCCAGTGGGGGGCGTGTAAGACGCAAAGCTAGACTCGCACATCACATTCACACAGGAGAGCTGCAAAATCATGCCTGATATCTTCACCACACCCATGAAGGCTGCGACAAAGCTGCGTCGCTGCCGTTGCGCCCTAGGGTAAGATCCAGTCACAAAGATAAGAGAAAGAAAGGTATTTCTTTTCTTTTTGTTGTTTACTTCATCCTTGTTGTCCCTGAGACCTGAGCTAAGTGAGAAAATCAGCCAGCCGACCTTTTAATGTCCTCCACATTTTAAAACAGACTGCCTGTTTGTCACTTCTGACGATGAACCTTTAAACCTCCTTTTACTCAAACTGGTGCGTTGCATCAGAGCTCCTGTACCTGTTGTTGATCCCCCTCTGATAACTCTCCCACATCCTTAAGGCACATTCAGCTCATGACCTCTTGCCACAAAAAACTGCCTGTCATGCTAATTCTCATTTGCAGATGATTGCGTGTGTGCCCTGCGCTGCACCCATCTGATTAAACAGTGTGGAAGACGCATGCCGCTTTGTTTAAAGTGTGCTAACTTTCTGCATGCTGCATTGCATCGACAGTGTCGATCAGTCTGGAGTGTGCTGCAGAAGCTAAGGCGTACAGTCGTGTGTGAACATGTCTGAGCATGCCTGGGGACCATTTAGTGTTTATCTGTCTCTGCTGTTAAGATAAGTCTCAATATCATGCCTTGATTTCCTCTCATGCTGTGTCCCTCAGCTCAAAGGGAGATTCCAGCCATTTTGAAGTAAATAAACGTTATAATCACTGCAGACGGCTTCTGTTTAGAGAAATAGCGCAGACTGCTAACAGCTAGCTTGAACAAAAAGCTGGTGATCCAGATCAAAGCCCCAAATGAAGGCAACTGGACGTCCTTGGTTTCTTCATCCGAGGAGCTTTGTCAATACTGACTGGAATACGGGAGGGTCAAGCTTATGAGCTGTAGCTGTACCGCTCCTGAGCCACCGCCATCTTTGTTGCTTTGCTCAGTCACTGTGAAAAAAGAAAATAAAATAAAAGAAAAAGCTCTGGCATAGTGGTGCACAACGTCTCACAACAAGCCGAGCGCTGTGGTTGGCTGTAGGCCTGCTGAGACTAAGCAGGATGGTGGCTAGACTGACCTGCAGAGGAAAATCTTTTGCAAATGTTTGTCTAGATTTCTAGGCTATCGGGGAGTCAGCCCAGGAAGATGAAAAGGTTAAAAAGGTTTATTTAAATAACATTTACATTAATGAACCACAATGATATTGTTGAGACTGGAGCTCACTTTGGGCTCAGCTGTTAGCTCACTAGGACGTAAAAAGCTTTTCTCCAAACAGAGACTGTCCAGGAGGCTATCCACATCAGGCTAATTCATGCATTCATTGAAAAACTCATCAAAATGGCCCAAAAATCCCTTTAATGCTCATCCTGCATGTCTGTCACTGGCTGTCTCTACAAAAGTGTGTGTGGAGACAAAGAGAGGTGGGGAGGCTCCCAGGCTGGTGGAGACTGACCTTACTTCCCGAGTCCTTGGGTCCACACTCCCCTTTATCGTACCACCATTTGTTTTTCAGTTTGTCTAAGACTCCTGCTTCACTCAGTTTCAATACGGCAAGGTTTACGGGCGTTCTTCATATCATGGGGGACAGGGAAGGGTGGGGAAATAACATAAATAACATCATAGGACATGTTATTTTATGTTATTCAATCAGAAGAAGCCCAACAAGAAGAGCAGCTCAGTACTCTCCACAAAGTGACGAAGCCAGAGAGGGGCCCCACTTGAGCTACATGTCTCTTTGCTCATCGGTTGTCCGATTGGTTTGGTTTGGTTACACTGGGAGGTGTTGGTGGGAGGGGGCGGAGCCAACAGACATATACGTGGGACCCTGGCTGCATCGCTTTTTTTGGGAACGGGCACATACTGCCGGGACCTTTTTGCACAACAACCAAGAAGTACTGCTGAACCAAAGCTAGCGGCTGAGAGCTTAGAAACACCCACAGCAGGGTTTTTCTAAGTTGCTATTAGCATGTTAGCATGTTTCTGTTAGCACATTTATTAACACTTATCAGTCAATGCAGCAAATACTTTTGCTTCAACATTACTCAACGTCCTCTTGAGGTTAAAAGTGTCCAAACGATGTGCGGACCTTGAGGGGATCGACCCGGCAGATGCTCCTGTTACCAACACAAACATTTCTCCTCTACCCACATCAAGGTGACATGGGCAAAGCAACATTGTGGCTAACCTTCTCGCCACCGCCTCCGCTGCCACATTCTCCTTTGTCGTACCACCACTTGTTTTTCAATTTGTCCAACAGGCCTTGCTCATTGAGTTTTAACACTGCCAGGTTAACTGCACTTCTTGAAAACGATAAAACATATTTGGTGAGAGGGGTGAGTATGCTGTCCAATTGGGGAGGGGGGGAGGGGGGGTCAAGGGGGGAGGAGAGGGGAGGAGTAGCAGTAAGAAAGGGACAAAGGTGGTTAATCCCATTCAAAAGACTCAAAACACACACTGAACACAAATCTCTCTGCTTTGATGTTTTTCAACCAAATTAAACCAAATGTTCATTTTTAGATCACAAATCATAAATAATCATTGAAGTTTTTGTGTCTCTCACTTCATCAACAAACTACCCAGAGAGTCACATTTCAACATAATAATCTCCTTTAAACACGTGAATTGATGGTTTTTAATAGAAGCCCTTTTGAAAGTCAGGTACTGCCGTGTAATTTGCAAAGGTTGTTTAAAACTCATGAAGAGGGTTATGAATTGAGAGGCGTTAAAAACTTCATTTTTCCATTATACCGAACAACTATGAAAAGTATGTGTGTATCTGTATGTGGTATCAAACTGTGGAACAAACTTGATGTGACTTTAAAATTATGTAAAAACATTAGATCATTTAAAATGTTGTATAAACAACTTATAATTGACTCATACATAAATAGCAAGTGATAAAAATGGTAATTGGCTTCAAATGGAATATTTTGTTTTTGTTGTTTATTGGTTTTGTTTTCTTTTTCTGTAGATTCATGTGAACAATTGTTTTGTAACTGTCTTTTTATGTAGCAACTAGCAAGGTGAAGATAGAACGACCTGCATAAAGAAAAGTTTTTTTCTTTCAAATTTGTTAATGTGAGCAAATGTGATTTATTAACTGAATTGGGGCTGGACTAGATAAGCTTTTGCTTCTTCCAGTTCCCTCTCAAATGGTTTTATGTTATTGTATGTTTTGTATTGTTTCATTCAACAGCATATGTTTATCGTATTCCTCATTTTTTAAAAAATAAAATTTTGTATGCACCAGGAATATGGGGGAGTGCATATGCAATTTCATGTTTTCGATGGTTTGAGATAAATAAATAAATAAATAAATAAATAAATAAATAAATAAATAAAAATAAAATAAATAAAAAGACCAATCAACTGAAAATCTCATTTGCTGCCTGATTCGTCACTGGAGCAAAGGAAATGGAAGTTTTTGCAGAACTATTATTGTTTCCTAAACACAATCAAGCAGAATTATTACCTGAAATTAGACAAAAAAAGCTTTAGCCCTAACCTAGCATTGTAGATTTTGTGAAGTCAATTTAGCATCTAATCCCAAACAACTAATCTTGTGATGTACTTGCTAAAAGGTTTACTTTAGAAACTAAAACACAATGTATTCTCTTTATAATGGAATTATCTTCAGTCAAGTGTTCCTTTTTCATTTTTGAATAAGATTAAAAAAATTAGATTATATTAATAAAGTGAATTCACCCTTTCGTCATCCAGTCTACAGAAAGTGTTGAGTGCAAAATTAGATTTTCTTTTACATTTCAAAATGCAGAACTCAGTTTTTATTTGTACCTCACTAAAAAATAAACCTACAATATTTTGATGAAAGCATCCTCTTTTGTAGATTTGGGTCAGGGTTATCCTTTTTTATCTGGGTCACTCATGAAAGATGCTCACAAATCAGCTTTTCAGTAAATGTCTATTTGTGGTTGTCAGAAGAAGCATTAATAAAAATCTGGCCCTAAAATATTGAGTTTCTATCTAATTTCTGCAGATTAAGATTTTACCGTTATTGCAAAATGCAAAAAAAAAAAAACCACACACACACTACTTGAACACCCCTTGTGTAAAACTGGTTTAACTTTTTTTTTAATAATACTCGGTTATATTTTATTTTATAATTTTCATCACTTCCAAATCACAAAATCGTTCCAACATGTAAATTTGTTTTTTGCTGCAGATTGTATTCACTTATCTGTGACTTTAAACTATGTGTTCAACTGACAACATGCTATATTTAAAAAATAAATGAGTTTTATTAAAACTTTGCTTTAACTTTTGTTGAATACACTCTTGCAGCAAACAAATGACCCATTAACAACAAACATTAGACAAGTCTAATAAATATATCAAGATTTTCTCTGTCAACTCGAAGCTTTCAGCGTCAAGTCTCTCTGTGACATCCAAACCGACAGGAATATCAATCAATCAAAGCTTTATTTATAAAGCGCCTTCTGCAACCCTGTCAGGAAGCCCAGACCGACAGGAATAAGCATCTTCTGATGAAGGAATTATGCCTAAATGTTCAGGTATTTTATGGTAATTTTAGCAACAATCTAATAAGATAAAAAGATTTGTCTCAGTGTGCATTTAGATCCTTTTAATCGACTCGTATCAATATAAATTAAAAAGAAATCAAACATTCAGCGATGGGAGTGGATTAAAGGCCGAAAGCAATGCAGAAGTTATTTCACTTTAAGGTGGTGGATTTGAAGGTGGAGCCGTGTGAATCGCCAGCTGTCTGTGCTACTGGTGTGTTTCCTCGCTGATATCCAGAAAAGTGGCTGACAGAAGACGACAATCCCCCAAAAACCAAATAACAAAAACAAAACAAACAAACAAACAAAAAAAAACAATGACAGTGTCCAGAAGGAGAGGACTACCGTGATCTGTCAGGGACTCCTTCTAGTCAAAGCAGCGCCTGAAAACTGGCACCAGCCTGGCAGATAATCTAACCAGCCTTTGTAGGAGAGAGGAATTTACAGAAAACGATTGATGAAGACATTTTAAAAGGGTTAAAATTCTAGTTAATCTGGGCTTTTATTTTGAAATAATCAAAGCTTTGACATTATATTGGCAGTTTGATGCATGAACTTCACAAAGCGTAAAAAGAAATGAGATGACGGGGCCTCTGACTGTTAGGCAGGCGCCTCTCTCCTGGTTTTTAACCAGTTAACGTCGATTGTTGCAGATCTGCGTCAAATCCACATCTGCTCCAAATGCAACCAAAATACCGTGAGTACCTGAAAGACAATCCACAAGTGAAAACCTTTTTTATAATTGAAAATTAATTCAGGCTTTAAGGAATTAAGTCCCACCTGAAGACCCATTATTATGTTCAGGCCTGTTTTTGTTCTTATGCTCTTTTATTGTTTTTTTTTTTTATTATTATTTTTACAGTTTTTTTATTGCTACTTATTGGTTGTTTTCCATTGCTTGGTTCCTATCTAAACAAAGCAGAGTAAAGATTTGTTTTTATATTTTAAGCTGACAAAGTACCGTGATATAATGTGATATAATGCAGGCAACATGTCCGTTATTTTACTAAGCACGTCCCCCGACTTATAGAGCCTTGTGTAAGTTGAACTTAGCGCCATTCAGCATTAGCCAATAGCGTTAGACATCCACTTACATACACAGGCCAATCACAAAGTGTTTGAGTCATTATGCGTCAGCGCAAGGGCTCTCCGATGGCTCACAGAGGTGACATTCCCAAAATTTTAAATATCCGTTGAAAGTGATGGAGACCACAAGCTTGTGTTTGGTCAGGACGCCACTTCCTGTAAATTCGTCACCAGAAAATGTCTTAAAATATGAACATTTATTCACCCGTGACTGAAGGGGTCGAGATACCGAGCAAACGTGGATGGAAATGACGGGAAACGTGGGTTTGTTTAGAGGTGGCGACCACACGATAAGGTGGAGAATGAAGGACAAGTTTGCCCATGTTATAAAGCCTCTGAGCTATATAAACACATGAGTAAATACACCGTAGGGAGCGGCCTTTCCGGTCGGCTCACGGGTCCCCGGAAGAATGAAAAAATGAATGCAAGTCAACGGGGCTAAAAATGCTATTTTCTAATCCACTTTGCCTTACGCCCTGGATCACACATATGTTGTGCTGCAGTTTAAATGAAAAGTAATGATGGGTGTTTCGACCACGCCAGTCACGTACTTTGAGATGTATCAGCTTGTAAAAGTTTGTAATCAGCATGACTACACACTAGAAATCGCAACGTCGCATATGTGACGTCACCACATAATCTCCTCTGCCCTAGCGTAGCTGCTACTTACCAAATGGCCAGAGTTATGGTGGTTCTTTCCTCCTGAATGAAGGATTTGAAGTTCGCTAAACTTACAGCCATTTTCCCTCGGTTTTCTCCGTGTCTCGTTCGATGACGTCACTTTCGTTAAGCTCATTTGTAGTCCTGGACTTATTTTCACACAAAACCTAAAATAGCATTTCCCCCCCGTTCGAAAATAAATAAGTTCTTGGTATCAAAATACTTCTTTAAAATTGAGGGACATCATATGTGAAATCCATGGAACATAACAAGCAGAATTA